GGCAAGTGCCCTTGACCAGAATCAAACCCAGGACCCTTCAGTCTGCAGGCCGACGCTCTATCCACTGAGCCAAACCAGCGAGGGCCTGCTGTTTGCTTTTTATTTGTTTAAACATAATGTATTCCTTTCTTGCAGCTTTGAGCAATTCTGCATCAATTACTGCAACGAGAAACTGCAGCAGCTATTTATTCAGCTGGTTCTGAAGCAAGAACAAGAGGAGTACCAGCGAGAAGGGATCCCCTGGAAGCACGTGAGTGCACCTCTGGGGACAATGTCCAGGCCTGTCACACATGATGATAATGCCAAATCCTACCATTTTTTAAAAGGCATTTTAAAAAATCTGCCTGGGTACACGAAATAACAACATTTCAGCTTTTCTTTTGGGGATGTGTAAATACATTTTGTTTTCAGGGTAGGTAGATGGGTTTTTTCCTAATTTAAAAGACTCCCTTGTTGGTGCCCAGAAAATGCTGAGTTTTAATCAGTAACCTTAACATCTCCACTTTATGGCGGGTACCACATGGGTTTTCTGGTTCACATATGTCTGTTAAGAGTTCAGCATCATTTATAAGTTATTCAGAGCAGCAACTTTTGCTTTAAACTTTGCTTCCAGGGTTAGTTTCTTCTCCTTCCTCTTTTTCTTTCTTTTTCTCGGCTGAACTTTGCTTCCAGGTTTAGTTTCTTCTCCTTCCTCTTTTTCTTTCTTTTTCTCCTGTTACTTTTTTTTTTTTTCCTCCTTCTCAGCTTTATTAGCTACATGACATTGTATTGTCCTCGGTGGATGTTATTCCTCTTCTCTGAAATCCTTGCGTGAAACACTTACATTCAGTTCATTTCCGTTTCTTTCCTGCATGTCACATTTCCACTCTCACCTCTCTTTTCGTGGCTCTTTGTGAACTGTAATATTTGTCAGAGTCACACTAGCCTGGTAATAACGTCACCGCTAAAAAGCATGACAATCATGATGGAAATGAGACCTAGTAATTTTTCTTTTGAATTTTTGTTTTAAACAGTTTTAAGAACAGACTTGAGCCATGCAAAAGCATCGGAGCGTCCCTGAGTTTCTTTGTTTATAAAACTGTGTTTATCCTCTTGTCAAAGAGTAGAGACAATAAAAATAAAGTCAGTATTTATTTTGTCATATTCAACATGATAGCAGTACTATTCAAAAGGCCGTATTTTAATTACTTTTATATTCCTTTTTACCTTCCCACTGTCCCTCTCCTCTCATTCAGAAAAAGGAAGCAATGCTAGCGTCCCTGCCTCAGATTGCCTCTTTGCCTTGCATTTGTTAAACATTAGAATGCCGTAAAATTTTCTCCAAGTATATCAGTATAAATTTTGCCTATTTCAAATAAACCAAAGTGTGCTATGACTTTATAATTATTACCTACCATTTTGATTTAGGAGTGAACTCTTACAACACAATTCAGATGTAACTTAATGAAGTTTATATGCAGCGTTCTCAGAATGATTGTGTTGTACAACACCCAATTAAAACTGAGGCCTAGGTTTTTATAGCAAATTGAATCATAAAACTTGCTACCCAGATGTGATTCAGAAATATTGGTCAAAAATATCCTTTAATCATCAGAGTATCAAATTCCACCGACATGGTTGATAAAGAGAAAAGTCAACAATTGCAGGAAGCGATTTCAAACATCTGAAAAAGGAGCAAAAGCACTGAACATGCAAAAATTTTTAGCGAAATAAACCAAGAAATACGTGACCTCCGGAGAACAGAAACCTGACCCTATGCCAGCTCCCCCTAGATGACAATCACTATTCTGGGCAAGTATTTCCTTTAAGAACCCCAGACTTCTGAACATAGTGATTCATTCTTTTTTTTTTTTAAAGAAATTTCAAATATATGATCTAAAAGCAGAGATCATAATATAATAAACTTAATGTACGCATCACCCCACTTTAACAGTCATCAGTGGACTGTACCCACCCACCCCCAGGTCATTTTGAAGCAAGTCTCAGACTGTGATGTGACAATAATGTGACTTATTTCATCTGTAAATATTTCAGTGTATTTCTCTAAAAACCATAAGCACAATACCATTATCACACCTAAAATAACAGTAATTCCTTAGTGTCACATGTTCAGTCAATGTTCAGATTTCACATTTTTCTCAATTGTCTTAGAGTTCTTTTGTTTTGTTTTTACAGTCTGTTTGAATTTGGATCCAAATAAAGCTCCTATACTGTGGTTGGCTAATAGGTCTCTCACATATCTGTAGATTTTCTTCACCCAGTGTCTGTCTGTCTGTCTGTCTGTCTCTCTCTCTCTCTCTCCTTCCCCCTCTCCCCCCCCCTCCTTATAATTGTTGAAGATTATGGGTCCTTTGTTTCGTTGTGTTTCCCGAGTCTGGATTTTGCTGATCAGATTCCTGAGCTGTCATCGAAAAGCTCCTTCTTACCTCTTATAGATACTGACTATGTTTCTCTGTTTTTTGTATGTCCTTGGTTGTTTATAATCTTTTGTTGAAGATTACGGGTCCTTTGTTTCGTTGTGTTTCCCTTGTCTGGATTTTCCTGATCAGATTCCTGAGCTGTCATCGACTATGTTTCTCTGTTTTTTGTATGTCCTTGGTTGTTAGATCTAGAATCTCGACCAGGTTTAGGGGCCAGTGTTTTTCTACCGATGGTGTGTGAACTCTCACTGGGAGGCACACATGTCTGGTTGTCTAAGTGATTCCATTTGAAAAGCCTTTGGTGCCGTAGTTTGCAGGTCACGTTTTGCTGTTGAGAACTTGACTCTTGGCACAAAGCTGCTTAACTTGGACTGGGACTGGGGGGCCCAGAGCCTGCCCCCCACATCTCTGCGTGCCCCTGGGTCCCCTAAGAAACCTCCTGGAGATGCCAGTTGCTGGAAGAAACTGGTTTGGAAGCCACTACTTTAAGCAGCATGAAACTTACGAACTAACAGTTACTGGACTCTTTAGCAAAGATGAGTCACTTTTGGTTTATATCATTAGAATTGTAGGGAACCTACTTCTTTGTCCCTGGGACAAAAGACTTAGTCTCTAACTCCCCCATCCCAAAGTCTAAAATTTCAGCTATTCATTAATATAGAGTTCTTGCTTTTTGAGTATTTTAAGGATATTTTTCCAAAAGGTGGAAATAACTTTTCTTCCGAATTAGAAATGTAATAAATGCCACAAGAAAGGCAAATATTTAGGCCAGGACTTCTCCGTCGCTGTACTAGTGACATTTGGACCAGACCTATCTTTGATGTGAGCCTGTCCTGTGCCCTGTAGGATGTTTATTTAGCAGCATCCCTGGCCTCTTCCCACTGGAGGCCCGTAACACTCTCTAGATGTGACCATTACAAATGTCAGCAGACAGCCCAGCTGGTGTGGCTCTGTGGTTGAGCATCGACCTATGAACCAGGAAGTCACGGTTTGATTCCCAGTCAGGGCACATGCCCACGTTGTGGGCTCGATCCCCAGTGTGGGGCGTGCAGGAGGCAGCCGATCAATGATTCTCTCTCATCATTGATGTTTCTATCTCTCTCTCCCTCTCCCTTCCTCTCTGAAATCAATAAAAATTGGAAAAAAATTGTTTTAAATGTCAGCAGACATTAGGTTGCCAAATATCCCCAGGGCCCTAAGTCACCCTCTATTGAGAACCACTGATTTAGACAAACCAGAAGAGTACAAAAAAGAAAGTAAAAGCCACCCATTTTGAGACTTAGTGTCTGTAAAATACAAAAGAATTTAAAAGACTAGGAATGGAGCTGAAAACCACAGACAAATAACCGGCATGAGTCCTTGATTTTAAATAGCACGGACCAGGAATACTGAGGCACTTTAATAGTCTATTTTGAGTTATGGATCTTACAGAAGTTAATAGAGACAGCTCTCAGTTCAGGCACCTCGTCAATGAGATAGAGCACATTAACACACAGATTAAAATGTAAGACAATCAGCCGCCCATCCTCACATGAGGCACAGCTCGCCCGGCCAGGCCCCTGTGCTCTCTGTGAGCTGCAGGTGATGTGTGAGCTGCAGGGCATCAGAATGAACAGGTGTAGGAGAGAATTGTTGTATAAGCCATCAGTCACCAACCGGTGGTCCACGGACCACTGGTGGTCCATGAGGTCTGAAAGGTTGGCAACCACTGATGTAAACCCTGTGTGTATTGAAGTTTCCAAAAAGCCAGGAGTTACTTATAACTTTGTTCAGCTTATGGAAGTAAATGAAAAGCTCGTTCTTATCTCTTATAGATACTTAATCTCAGCATTACATTCTTTATGGTAGATATCCTGAAAAACCTCAAAACTCTGTTATACCCATATAGGCTTGTTAACTTTGGGAAACTGGAGGGCAATGCTCCTTTGGGTTTTAATCCAGGTCCATAGAATGCAAGTTCTGCGTAATATCTTCACTTCGTCAAATTACATGTCAAATGCTACTTTAAGGTTATTGGCTGACACTTAGTGCAGTCTGGGTCTTGTGGTTAATGGCAAGCAGATTAGAGGATTGAGAGTCTGAAGGAGCAGGGTCAGGTGCAGGAGGCGGAGACAAGATTAAAACAGCAGGTAGTGATGGGAGAAACGTTACCCACTTTATAATTTTTGCCTGGACCTGTTCTCATCGAAGACAGTGTCTCCTGTTGCAAAGAAGCCTTTGAGGGAATTTGAGTGTCAGACCTCACAGGTGTCATTCACATGTTTACCATGGAGGGAGCTTGACGTAACTGATGCACACGGGGCACTGGTGTTTCCGGGTCCGGCCCCTGCCCCCTTGGGCATTGCCTCTGTGCTGTGTCCCGCAGATCGACTACTTCAACAATCAGATCATCGTGGACCTGGTGGAGCAGCAGCACAAGGGGATCATCGCCATCCTGGACGACGCCTGCATGAACGTCGGCAAGGTCACCGACGCAATGTTCCTCGAAGCACTGAACAGCAAGCTGGGCAAACATGGGCACTTCTCCAGCCGCAAGGTAACGTGTGTACTGAGGACGTCCTCTCGCGTTCGTGCGTGAGGTTTTCCGCATTGTGTGGCAGACTTAAATGACTTCCTATGTTGGGTTATCACAACCGTGTATCCACTCAACGCAGGCCATAAGCATCCAGTGAAGGATTGATTGCTGCAGATAAATTTTGCCTTCTCTGATTTATAGGAGGACAAGGTTGATAAAGCTCATATCATCCAGGAGAGGGCGCTCCAGACTGCTCAATTGACTAGAAATAGGAAAAGGGATGATGTCATTGCTAACCAATAGGTACAGAGTCCTTGTGCGTGTGCTCGATTTTGCTCCCGCATCCCTGATCATCATTCTGGCACTGAAAATAGCTTTTGTCCTCGACTTTTTACTATAACCCTCAGCTAGCCAATGTGGTATGTGTGCTTTGCCAGACTATGTGACTTTCTTAAAAACAGAGAAATTCTAGCTGTAATTCTAGTTGTTGCAAGGAAAGTCGTTCCTTATATGCATGGGTATATTTTTTAATCACCCCCTCCCCCCATTTTTCACATTCTAAAAAAAAGTGTTAGCTATAGATCCTATTTCTGAATAATTGGTGGCAGCTGTGGTTGTCAGACCTTTGTGCTCTGCCTCGCATGGTAGTATACCATTAATATTTGTCCTAGGAGGGGGTACACCATCATCCCCAAGTGTTTCCTACAAATGCAGGCTTGTCTAGCAGCCATAAGCTAGAGGAAAACCAGTCCCCATTCTTACTCACTTCCACGGAAATGGGGCACACATTTCTGCTCCTCCGTCATCCCATGTAAATCTAGGATGCACTCCATTGTTCAGCACGAAGAAATCTGTTCTCTAACTTCATCCCCTTTGAAATTATGTCATCAGAATAGGAAGATTCCACAGTTAACTAGACAAAGCACAAACCATCCAGATACAGATTACTAGCTGCTATTTATTTTAGGACAGTTTATTTCTAAAATATTCTCCTTGGTCTGCTACTGAGGAATGACTTGCAGCCCTACTACAAGTCGATTTTCACATACTACTATCCCTTTAGTTGTTCCCCATTTATAATGCAAATACTTACTAAGTGCCTCTCATTTTTCAGGTACAATCCTGGGTGCTGGGGACAGAGCAGTGAGCAAAGTTAGAAGCAACCTAAATCCTTTAGCATGATGTTGTTAGAGATGGCATGATTACGCGGGCCAGCGTCCTCTTTTGGAGGACTGGGTTAAAAATGTCCTTTGTAATCACAGTTCAGGTTTTGGAGACTCGCCTAGAATTGTGCCTACCAGATGATAGACCATCAGTGTTTGTCAAATTTGAAATGAATTGGTCATGGTCATACCAAATAAATCTTACAGAATATTGAATTTTCAATTAACACATGCAAGGCTCTACTTCATTTTAAAAAATAACTGTGACTCTCCCATGAGAGTCACCTCATTTTTTATATGTGTTACCTTGGCCATTTATACACATGAATTAAACGTGTCAACCAAGTATTTTGAAATATAATCTTATTCTTAAGGTAGCAACTGTACATAGTGCGTTTAAGCAGTTGCTACTGATTTGATCGGAAATGTTGAACAGTTATTAATCTGTAGAGATGGGATTCCCTCTCTCCTCTCTCTCTCCCTCTCTCTCTCTCTCTCTCTCTCTCTCCCTCCCTCCTTTTTCCCCCTCTCCCACCGCCTCTCCCTCTCTCCTCTCTCTCTCTTTCTATTTCTATTTCTCTTTCTCCTTCTTTTTTAAATGTGGGAGCCTGGGTTTGGCCATCTCTTGGACCAGGTGGCTCCTTCCTCCAGCATCATCCCCCAGACAAGCACTAAGATGGGGAATTTTTAAATGTGTTATTTTCTGGGATTTTTGCCTAATGAAGGAAAGAAGTGAAATAACCAAGCTGTCAGAATATTTTCATCACTGTGAATCCAAATGTAAGAATATTTAATTGGTACAGACATATCTTGGGTCCTTTTTCTTTGGGGATTTTATAAAAAAAAGGGTTTTATGCCCTGACCGGTTTTGCTCAGTGGATAGAGTGTCGGCCTGAGGACTCAAGGGTCCCAGGTTCGATTCCGGTCAAGGGCATGTACCTTGGTTGCGGGCACATCCCCAGTAGGGGGCGTGCAGGAGGCAGCTGATCGATGTTTCTCCCTCATCGATGTTTCTAACTCTCTATCCCTCTCCCTTCCTCTCTGTAAAAAATCAGTAAAATATATTTTTTTAAAAAAGGGGTTTTATAAAAGTTGGTTGGAGTGTTGTCCCATACTCTAAAAATTTTGTGGGTTCAATCCCCAGTTGGAGCACATACCTAGGTTGCAGGTTCCATCCCTGGTCGGGGTACATACGAGAGAGAGCTAATGATGTCTCTCTCTCTCTCTCTCAAAATAAATAAATAAAAAAAATATCCTTGGATGAGGACTTAAAAAAAAAGCAAGAGGTTAATAAGAGAGAGAGGAATCGAGGTTGATCTCTAAGCAATGACAGGCGTGAACTGGGGTCCCAGCTTAGCAGAAGGCAGATAAGCCAGGCTACTGTGTGCATGGGAAGCACAGACATTACATTAGGTCCCAGGGATCCTTCCCAGAGCTACCAGTTAATGGTTGTGTGACCTTCTGCCAATTGCCTGACTTCTTTGAGCCTTAGTTTCCTTGTGTGAAAAGGAAAGCTTATGATACTTACTTCAAATATCAGTTGTGAGGATTGAAAGATGTACGTGCCTGGCAGACAGCAAGCACTTAAATGCCCTCCTTAATTGGAACATGGAGAATGAAACCATATCAGTCAGGGTAGGCTGGGCTGCCAAGAGCCCTGTCTCAGTTGGTTGGGCATCTTACCATGCACCAGGAGGTTGCTGGTTCGATTCCCAGTCAAGGGCACATGCCCAGGTTGATCCCCAGTAGGGGGCATGCAGGAGGCAGCTGATTAATGTTGTACTCTCACATTGATGTTTCTCTCTCCCTTCCTCTCTCTCTAAAAATCAATAAACTATTCTTAAATATATATATACTCGTGGCCCAGTGCACGATATCCAGCAGTCAGACATCCCCCGAGGGGTCCTTAGCGCTGCCATGGAGGCGGGAGAGGCTCCCACCACTACTGCTGTGCTCGCCAGCCGTGAGCCTGGCTTCTGGCTGATTGGTGCTCCCCCTGTGGGAGTGCACTGACCACCAGGGGTCAGCTCCTGCATTGAGCGTCTGCCCCCTGGTGGTCATTGCACATCATAGCGACCGGTCATTCCACCGTTCAGTCAATTTGCATATTAGCCTTTTATTATATAGGATACTAGAGGCCCGATGCAGGAAATTTGTGCAAGGGGCTTGGCCCTCGCAGCCCTGGCTTCATCCGGAAGGTCGTCCAGGCGGTCATTCTGTTTGGTCTAATTAGCATATTAGCTCTTAATTATATAGGATATATGATAGCAGCCAAGATTTAGGTATCATAGACAATAGAAGTCTATTTCTCTTCCAAGGACCCCTTCTTTCATCTTCTGCCTCTTCCATCCCCTGTGTCCTTCTTTGTATCCAACTAGTGGGAGGAGAAAAAAAAGTACAGAGGACGATTGCCCTGGAACAGCCTCACCTCACTTCCACTCACCTTCCATTGTCCAGAACTTGGTCATTCGCCCATATTCAACAGCAGGGGGTGCTGTGTGGGTTTCTAGTGAAAGCTCCCAGTCGTTACCACACAAGCAGAATATTTAAATCAAGCCCCACACAGTGTGATTTCATTCACAATGATATCACGGTTTTGTAACAAAATTATCTTCTTCAATGAAATTGGAATATATTTTTAGGAAAGTGTAAATGGCTGTTTTAAAAATAATCTCCTTCTTGATTTCTTAGCTCTGTGCCTCAGACAAAATCCTGGAGTTTGATCGGGACTTTCGAATTCGACATTACGCAGGGGATGTAGTGTGAGTATCTTACTTTGGCACCTAACGTGATGTTTGCATGCAACCTCACTTCAGAAATTTATAACCAGGGGGAAATATAGGTTGTTTTCCTGTTCATTTGCATTATTTTCAGTCATTTTATAGGCCTCTTTTAATCTTTCCACTTAAAAATAAAAATTGGCATCGCTTCATGCATTCCTTGCTTTTCAAACATTTATTGAGCACACACTATGTGGCCATGCACAGCTCCTGGCATAGTTGTTCGTCAGTCAAAATCAACAGATGGATAAATAAAGCAAGTTAAGGACTAGGATAGAACAATAGATGAGATGGGCCTTTCTCTGAAGAAGGTAATTGTGTAGAGCAGCGGTTCTCAACCTGTGGGTCACAGCCCCTTTGGCGGTCGAACGACCCTTTCACAGGGGTCGCCTAAGACCATCCTGCATATCAGATATTTACATTATGATTCATAACAGTAGCAACATTACAGTTATGAAGTAGCAACGAAAATAATTTTATGGTTGGGTCACAACATGAGGAACTGTATTTAAAGGGCCAGAAGGTTGAGAACCACTGGTGTAGAGGAAGATATAAGCAGATAACATTGTAGGTCACTATAAAGAAGGATGAATGGAAGGCAGAAATGCACAGGCATTATGGGAACACTGAGCAGGATGCTTAACCCAGAGTGGAGTATAGAGAAGTCTTGCTGGAGGAAGTGATACCCAAGCTGAGTCCTAAAAGTAAAAGAGTTTAGTCAGGGCAAAGAACTAGGAAGAGAGGAGGGAGAAGCGAGGGAGTTCCAAGCAGAAGAGGCAGCAGACACACAGGCCCTGAGGTGAGAGTCACCCATCATGACCACTTTTGCCATTTTATTTATCAAATATTTTTTGAAAAGTAAAATTTGCAGGAGGCACATTTTCTGATTACAATAAAAGTAGAAATTGACAAGAAAATATAACTAAAAAAATATAACTACCTTAGCATTTTAGTCTCCTAGGGCTGCTGTAACAAATTACCTTCAATTGATGGCTTAAAACAGGAGAAATTTATTCTTTCACAGTTCAGCAGGCCAGGAGTTTGAAATCGAGGTGTCGGCAAGGCCACACTCTGAAGACTCTAGAGAAGAGCATTTTTTCAGCTTCTGGCAGCCGCAAGCATTCCTTGGCTTGTGGCCCCATAACTCCAGGCTCTGCCTCTGTGGTCACATTGCTGCCTCCTCTTGGGTGTGTCTGTGTTAAATCTCATCTGCTTCTTAGCTAAAACTACACTTGTGAAGGCATTAAGGCCCCTCCTGGGTAATACCATATAAGCTTCTCCTCTCATCACCCCTCACATAACCACACCTTTTATCGTATAAGGTCAACATTCATAGGGTCTAAGGAGTTAGGCATGGATGCTGTTCAGGGGGCATTTTCCAGTCCACTGTACTTAGTAAGCTTTGTCCACTGAACACTGCTCCTTACTGTGTAAAGGCCTCTCTTGTTCTTTCTCCTTATGGTTTACATTAGGAATTCTGTTTATATTCATAAAACCCATTATAGGACGAGATGAAACAACTATAAAAAGGCAAATGATGATCTCTACATGCTGAAAAGACATCTGAAGAAATTTTAATAGCTGTTCCTGATTTAAATTAAAACTCTGGAATCATATAAAATAATATGGCTCGAAATTATCACCCCATCTGTCACACTAGCCATTAGGGCTGGTATGGCACCATTTTCCTCTTTTTCTGGTCCTGTTCCCGGGTTCCAGAATACTGAGGAGGGAAGATCAGCACCACACAGCTGTCTCCCACTGAAAACCCAGGCCTCGCTTCCTGGGTGCTTTCATCTCGCTCGCAGTGGCATAGAAGCAGGGCTGGACAGAGAGGCCTTAGAGACCACCAGGCCAGCCCTTTCGTTTTACAGATGAGGAAACCTATGCAGAGAGTGTAAAAGTTATACCCAGGGTTACACAGCATGTTCATGGGAGAGCTGAGACAATAAGTAGGTTTCCTGACCTCCAGAACTCTGGCCGACTTCTCTGAGTGCAGAAGAGGGAAGGAGCTGGGGATGGAGCAGTGATAGGATTGGAGCTAGTAAAAAGGGGGTGTGTGAGGCTTTGTGGCCCGGCCGACCTCCCTGAGTGCAGTGATAGGATTGGGAGCTAGTAAAAAGGGGGTGTGTGAGGCTTTGTGGCCAGATGTCTTTTCAGCAACAAGGCCCATTTGGTTGAAGTGTATCCTCTACGGTCACATTGCCTCCTCCTATTGGGTGTGTCTGTGTTAAATCTCACCTGCCTCTATGCTGAGCCCTCCAGTCCCTTTTTAGGTTTTTACTGGACATCTTCTGTGTGCATGGTGCTTTCTAAAGTGTGGCCCCTGCCCACAAAGAGCTTTCCACGTAAGATGCATACATGCACATATGGTGGTGTGTGTATGTATTTATACACATACATTTTTATATTATCTATATAAATACTTACACACGTATATATACACACACATTTACATGCTTACATTGATACAATAAAAGATGGTCTGAAATAGTTGCCATATGGACTTGTTGTCAGGATTCAGAATAAGGAAATGATATCATCCTTCTAGCTGTGTGTAATACACCCAGGGAAGCCGATGCTGCCTCGGGTCCTTGATGCAGTCCTTTGGATGCTGGGGATTATTTTTATAGGAACAAGTGGGAAGAGTGCTAAACATTCAGGAAATAGCTACTGGGTCCATTTGACAGGAGTGTGTCCTTTTTGTAGCAAAGACAAGTAGAAAATGCCTGGAAAAATAGATTCAGATCAAATCATAATGAGTCTTCAAGGCCCAAAATAAGGGCTTGGAAATTTGAGTTTTATGGGTTACACGATAGATTGAGTCAGGTGACTTCAAGGGTTCAGTCAAAAATGGCTTGAAGGTATTAGGAAGAAGACCTAGAGTGGGGGAGGCAAGTACCCCCCACCCCCATGGGCAACATAGCGTGATGGGACTTTCTTGCAGAATTAAGTATGCAAGGCTGAAATATTGGCGAGGGTTCAGGGTTAGAGATCTGAGAACTGTGTGCATTGATGTGATTGTCGAGGGGACATGTAGACAGGTGAGAAAACAGAGCTGTAAGAAGCAGCTGCATCTATAGTTACCATCACCCAGAATCCTCCATGACTTTTATACCCCCAGCCCTGAGTGTGCGCCACCTAGAGGCCATGCCCGTCACTGCAGAAGAACAGGTCCCATTCACACCTTTCTCACCAACTACTGGGCTTTCAAGACCTTACTCATCTCCCTTCCTCCAGACCAGCGGTTCTCAACCTGTGGGTTGTGACCCCTTTGGTGGTCGAACGGCCCTTTCACAGGGGTCGCCTAAGACCATCCTGCATATCAGATATTTACATTACGATTCATAACAGTAGCAACATTACAGTTATGAAGTAGCAACGAAAATAATTTTATGGTTGGGTCACAGCATGAGAAACTGTATTTAAAGGGCCAGAAGGTTGAGAACCACTGCTCCAGACCATGAACACTGGCCTCCTCGTTTTCTTTCAAGAATGTCATGCATGTGCCTGCTTCCTTCCCTTTGTTTAATAATCTATTTCCCTGTGTGATCTGCCTTCTGCTTTCTCCTCTGCTTATCCAGCTCTTACCATCCTTTGCGGTTCTCCTTGGATTCTTTTATCCCACCCCGAACACACTGAGCGAACCTTAGGCAAGCCCCTTGACCTCCCTACGGATGAGGCCCTTAGTTCCTGTGTGTCGCTGGTTTGCTTTTATCTTAGTAATGCTGGATGATAAATACAGCTGTCTGTATTTTAAGAGTCATCTTCTTGAGGTAAGCAGTTAAGCCAGTAGAAAATGATCTTAATTGTAATTATGGTAATGATGTTTGCTCTGCTTTTGAAGAATAGAAACAATATCCCCTTTATTTAGGAGGTAAAATTTGATGTTCCTTAACACAGGACATCGAGGACAGAGTCAGCCTCATATACTGATTGCATAATTAACAGTGGGAGGGTGTTGTAGATTTCTAGAAAAGCTTTACATGTGGCTCTTGCTTGGTGAGTAATGAACATTTTCTGTGTTTTTCCTCCATTAGCTATTCTGTCATCGGTTTTATTGACAAAAATAAAGACACTTTATTTCAAGATTTCAAGCGCCTGATGTATAACAGGTAGGTTTAAATTTTACTGTCTTTATATTAAACACTTTGACATAGTATATCGCACAGTATATATGCACATGATTATTTTTATGTGACAATTTTAAGATTTTTTTTTGGTAAATTCTCTAGTTCTGCTTGATCAGACTTAATAAAATATTACTCTGTAATTATTATAACAATCAATAGACTTAGGACAGGGACCTGCTATGAATATGATTTTCTTTGATTGCCCTTGGGTGGCCTCAGTTTCTCTGTTTACTGCTGCCATCCTTCTGGCACCCCCTACCAGAATATTCAGGAGGAGTCCCTGGCTGGGACAGTGGCAAATGGAAGGTGTCAGATAACCTCTGGCACAGCTGGAAACCTTACACACTCAGATTCCCACTGTAGTGTCTTTGCCCCCGACGAAGAGGTCCCTCTGCTGTCCGAGTAGCAGCTGGAATCAGTGATGGTAGATCCTGAGTGGACAGAATCTTCTCACAATCCCAGAAAAGGGGGAAAAAACAAGTTCAAACCCAGCATGATACTTCGGAAAGAAGGCCCATGAAGAAAGAAGGATGCTCAGTCAGCTGCTGCTTTGGGGTTAGAGAACTGTAGACACTCATTTATCAAGTCTCCTCAGTCAGTTGGTCAGTGGATCATCAAAGAGGTACTGAGCACCTCTGAGCCACACGTTCTTCTATGCTCTGGGGTACAGCTGTGGGAGAAATTTAGATAAAGTCCCTGCCCCCTTGCGTCTTATATTCTAGTAGAGGGGGCAGTCAGAGTAAACAAAGACAGCTAACTTCCAGGTAGTGACAAGTGCTGTGAAGAAAAATAAAGTAGGTAAAAGATTGAAGGGTGATCTCTCTCCCAGTTTTTTATGGGGGGGAGGCAACCAAAATTTCTGGTGGCCTCGTTTCGACAAGGATTAAAAAAAAAAAACAGATTGAAGGGTGCAAGCAAGAAAGGGCAGGAGAGGCATTGTAGGTAGGGTGGTGGGAAAGGCTTCTTAAAAGTGGTGATATTTGAGCAGAGACCTGAATGAAGTGGGGGAGTGAGCCGTGAACAGTGGGGAAGAAGAGCATTTCAGGTAGAACAGCTAGTACCAAGGTGCTAAGGTAAGAATGAGTTTGGGAGCATCGAGAACAGCCAGAAGGTCATTGTGGCGTAAAAAAGAGGGATGGGGAGAGTGGCAAGGAATGAGTATTTACAGAGGTCAACGGGGCCTGGGTTATGAAGAGTCTGTGAGCCGAGGTAAGGAGGAAGAATGAAGGGCAGCCACTGGAATTAATGATCAGATGTGATTTATACATTAAACAAGTCACTAGGGCTACCTAATAAAGCACACACTGTTGAGGGCAAGAGTAGAACTGGGGAGACCAGTTAGGGGACTAGTCTGAGATTTGGATGGTAGTGACAGAGATGATGCAAGGTGGTCAGAGTGGGTGATAGTTGGTAAGTAGAGCCAACAAGACTTGCTGATGAATGGGATGTGTGATGCGAGAGAAAAACAGAAATCCAAGCCGATGCCTGAGCAGTGCGGAAGGGATGCTTGGTGGGGGAAGACAAGAGGAGGAGCTAATCTGGGTGGGGGAAATCGAGAGCTTTGTCTAGGATATTTTATGCCGGAGGTGCATATTATATTGAACATCCAGTTGAAAATGCCAAATAGTCAATCGCATGTATGCCTCTGGGACTCAGGGTAAAGGTGGGGTTTGGGGTATCAATTCATTGATAGTATTTAAAGTCTTAAGACTGGATTTAGGGGGAACACAGATTTAAAAATAAGAGAGAGGAGAGGTCAAAAAAAGAACCCCTGAGACGCTCCAGCATTTAGAGTCAAGAAAGAAAGGAGGAACTAGCAAAGGACAGTGAGGCAGGAAGAAAACCGGAATCTGGTGTCAGCGAGGCCAAGCCAAGGAAAAAGTGCGTTGAGAAGAAAAAGGTATAAACCGTGTCAAAAATCTGTCCAAAGCAGAGTGATGTGAGGATCGGGATGCACTGTTGGGTTTGCTGACATGAACATCAGTGGGACTCTTGACAGCACGGATCTCCGTAGAGTTGTGGAAGGCCAATGTGTGATGGAAGTGGGCTCCAGGGAACGGAGAAAATGAGAATGTGGCGACGTTGTGTTTAGACTGTTGTTTCCAGCAGTTTTGCTGTGAAATGGTTCATCTGCGTGCATGCCACCAGGAGTGCTGATGGAGCTGTGCCATTAGGATGTTACAGGTAGAGGGGACCCCTGTAAGAGCTGGCCATGGGGAAAAGGGAGTTAAAGTACGTAACTTATCAGGTAAGGGGGACAAAGGACAGAGTCTGGCATAGCTCTGTGTAGAAAATGTCAAAAACTCAAATTAGAAAAAATGTCCTTCCTTGGCCAGTGGCAATGTCTGTGGGTTTGTTGCTAAGGGAAGAAGGCAGAGCCGGGCTGTGTACCAAGAGACTGCCCAGGTGGCATTCCTTACCTTCGGGAATTCATCATGGCCCCAAGTTCAGCTCCCCGGAAATAGCTCCACCTCCCAGGGGTGGTTTCAAGTAACTCTGAGCTCACAGGACAAATGAAGAAACGGAACAGCCTGTGGATTATTTCCAGAGGAAGATCTAATGGTCATGTGGAATGGAATACTTGCGTTGGTATGACAAGCTATTTTTTTTTCCTATTGGAAAACCCACTAGGGAAGTCAAAACAGCAGTGAGAATTCTAGTTTATTAATTGACTGAAAAACATTACTCATAAAATCCAAAATGTTTAATCGCTTGGTAAACACAGAGTCGGAACAAAAGAACTTCGATAAATCCAACAATTAAAGGCGTCAAGCGAAGATGAGTTCATTTCACAATAGGGATGATCTTGTCAGAGGTGCAAAAAGATTAAACATCTTTTGACTGCAACTTACTGTACAGATATCCATCACAGGAAAGGCCTTGCCAGTGGGGTGGGAAGTCTTGAAATTGTTCAGGCAAAAACCATCCTCCTGGGTGGTGCTTGGATGGGCTACCTTTGCCTCTGGACACGTCAGTGCTTCCATGGCTAAATAGCCTCCCAAATTTCCATCCTTTTTTCCTTTGTATATATTTAAAGGAACTTGGATCTGCAGTTCTGTAGGTGGGGCTTATTAGACCTTCAGTGTATACATGCACGTTAGTGTGTGTGTGTGCGCATATGTCTGAGTGTGTGTGTGTAAATGAAAGGAGGAAGAAAGCAAACCAGTGGCAGGCCAGGTGCACAGACTTTGATCATCACTTCTGTTTTCTTAGCCAGATAAGTTTTGCCTTGCCTTACATACTGAGTTTCTGGATAACTAAGTTTCCCTTTTAAAGAAAGGGTTCCTTTAGTTCGTTTATTTATTTATTTATTTTGAGCTATAGGTAGCAATGCCTTTTTTTCCCCCATTACGGTTTGCAGTCAATATTATTTTGTATTAGTGTCAGGTGTACAGCCTAGTGGTTAGGTAATCATATACTTGACAGTGTTCCCCCTGAAATTTCCAGTATCCACCTGACGCCATATATAGTCACTGAAATATTATTGACTATATTCCCTGTGCTGTACTTCATAGCCCCGTGACTGTTATGTAACTACAATTTGTACTTCTTAATCCCTTCACCTTTTCCACCCACCCCCCCCCAATGCCCCACCCATCTGGCAACCATCAGTCTGTTCTCTGTGTCTATGAGTCTGTTTCAGTTTTGTTTGTTCATTTATTTTGTTCTTTAGCTTCCACAAACAAGTGAAATCATATAGTATTTGTCTTTCTCTGTCTGGCTTATTTCACTTAGCATAAAACCTTCTAAGTCCATCCATGCTGTTACAAATGGTAAGATTTCATTCATGTTTATGGCCGAGTAATATTCCATTGTATATATGTACCAGAGCTGTTTTTATCCACTCATCTATATTCATGGGCACTTGGGTTGCTTCCATGTCTTGGTTATTATAAATAATGCTGCAATAAACATAGGAGTGCATATATTCTTTTGAATTAGTATTTTGGGTTTCTTCAGATATATACCCAGAAGTGGAAATACTGGGTCATAAAGCAGTTCCATTTTTCATTTCTTGAGGAAACTCCATACTGTTTTTCATAGTGGCTGCACCAGTCTTCATTCCCAGCAATAGTGCATGGGTCCCATAATAATAAAAGTCTTAGTTCCTTCATTTTCAGCACCCCTCCCTAACTGACAAGGTAGTATAAGAGTCTCTATAAATGGCCAGCAGTGAGTAAGGTGATATTTGGGGTAGAAACTGCTTAGATCCAAGTAGAAACTGCTCACACCAGAATTTTCAAAGGACACCTGCTCTGATTTCAGGAAATTGTATTCAGTAGGTGTTAGGAAGGCATCCCGCACTCGTGTGTACTAAATGTCGAGAACCACTACTTTAAGTTCTCTCTCTACTAAAGATTAGAATGGAAAAGTTAAGGGAAAACCATGTACGTTGATGTGGTTGTTTTTATTGATGTGCATATCATTGGAAAATTATGGAATAAAACTAGAAAGTGAAAAAACTGGGTCCATAAGCCACAGATCAGTGAGTTATATTATAGCCACTTTCTTGCGAGCGGCAGGGAGGGTCAGCAGTGTGGCTCTGTCTTCACTCAGAGACCCGGTAAATCTTCCCCTCACCTCATCAGTCCTTAGCATGTTTGCAGCAATTATTTTGAGCTGCTCTATATAGAAATTTACTAGGTATTTGGGAAACCAACTCAATTTTCTCAATTTTATACCAGGAGAAGAAAAGTGGGGAAAATGATGGCAGTAGTAAACACCATTAGCAAAAAAAAAATGCCCATGTTAATTCTTTTCTAGTCTCAAACCCCAGTTTAAAGAAAGAAAAAAAAAATCTGACAAGAGAAAAGTTTCCAGGAAGCCAGCAAGGTTTCACATTTCAATTTTGAAAATCAAAAGCACCCGAAATGAAACAGGAAGAAAATTCGAGTTGAGACCACCCCACGGGTTTTTAAAAATATCCCCACGGAGCCACATAATGACTATTCCGTGGTGAGCCCGAACGCTGGCCTGAAGCGCACTTTCAAGAATTGGATCACAGCCATATTAGTGTCACCTCAATGACAGATTTTAGCCGCCAGTGCTACCTGTAAGTGGCTCATAAATCCAACTGCAGGCGAGGGACTTTCTAGAAGACGGTGTGAGGATGGTTATTTTACCTTCCTCGCTGGACTTTTGGAAAGACCTGCCTGTTTGTGGTGTCACCCATTCTGTGTGAACATTTGTTTCAATCAGAAGATACTTTGGTGTTCATGTTTTCTACCATAACATTGAGAGTCATTTCCCTGCTAGTGGTTTGCACTCATTCCTGTAACTACCACCCAGACTATTTTATTTTATGTGTAGATTGTAAGACCTATGTTAACTCCTTGAGGGTACTAGATCATAATAATATAGATGGCACTTCAAAGAGGTTTTTTTTTTAATGCAGTACAGTTTGGACACATCTTTCAGCATCGTTTTCTGGATGGAATTGTTTCTCCAATTAGGCCTTGTGAGTTCAGTCTGTGGTCTAGTCTTGCCTCCCAGGGTACGTCCGGCAGGATTGCTTAGCAGTTCTTGTTCAGCCTGTTTGAATTGCTCTTCCTGTGCTTCTCAGTTCAAATCCTGTGCTGAAGAATATGTGGCCCGAAGGCAAACTGAGCATCACGGAGGTGACCAAGCGCCCTCTGACCGCTGCCACCTTATTTAAGAATTCTATGATCGCCTTAGTGGACAACCTTGCATCAAAGGTAATCCTTTTCTTTTCTGACTGCCCATGATATATGTTAGCGAGAATGTAGGTATGGCTTGCTTTTTAGGTAATGATAGTAAATCAAATTGAAGAATAGATATTTAAAGCAAATGTTGTAATAGAATTTTTATTCCTGGTGTGTGGATTTTAGGTAATTATAGTAAATCAAATTATTGTTGTTGATTGGGCTAGGTAAAACAGTTGTTTGTGTCCCAGGTAAAATTGTTTTTAATTATAAATTACTAGAGGCCCATTGCATGAAGAGATTCATGCAATAGGCCTTCCTTCCCCTGGCTGCCGGCACCGGTTTTGCTCTGGCACCCGGGACCCAGGCCTTCGCTCCGGCCTCAATGGAGAAGCCAAGCCTCTTCAGTCTTCGCTCTGTGCCTGCATATGCAAATTAACTGCCATCTTTGTTGGGTTAATTTGCATACTCATCCTGATTGGCTGGTGGGCATAGCGGAGTGACACCAATTTGCATGTTTCTCTTTTATTAGTGTAGATAACATATGCCTGAACTTCTTCCCTGGGCTGACACCAATGGCTGGCTTTTTAAAAAAATCTTGAACTAAATTGTAATACACCATCTGTATATTATATCTGAATACAAAATGACCAGATAGAGTTTTAAGAGGAGGTTTGGTACTTAAGTATTATCCTCAGGTTGTTTTTAATAGTTGAAATAAAAAGATGTGTTATTGACCATTAGGTCTGCTTTTTATTACTCCTGTGAGATCTAATCCTGTTTGATAACTTTAGTCTGTTTTTTCGTAAAGAACATATTTTTACTTTCAACTACTGCTGCTGACAACTTTGATAAATTAGGCAGCATTCTGGGACTCATTATTTTTAATTCCTTCATTTTTATCTTTCTCTTCTGGTGCTTTTCCTGTGTCTTTTCTTCATTATTATCCTTTTTTTAAAAAATCAACTTCCTCTCTAAGAATTTAAATCTGTTCCATTTCTGGTGCCTTCCCTGTGGATGAATTAGGCAAATGCCACAAGAACATGTCTGTTCAGTGACTTTCTGGTTTTTGTTTTTTGTTAATCCTCACCTGAGGATATTTTTTCATTGATTTTTAGAGACAGTGGAAGGGACGGGGAGAGACAGAGAGAGAGGAACATCGATGTGAGAGAGGCACATCAATGGTTGCCTTCCACAGCCTGCAAGTGAGGTCCATGCCCTTGACCGGAATTGAACCGGGGACCCTTCAGTCCTTGGGCTGACACTCTATCCACTGAGCCAAACCGGCTAGTGTGCTTTCTATTTATTTTCATCAGGATTCTTTGGCCTCAAGTGACAACAAATAAGCACAATTTGTTGGTTTATATAATCAAACCTCTGGAACAGGAGGGGTAAAGACTAGAATTCATTAGAACGCTTCCTCTTGCCTCTCGGCTTCTCTGCATGTCAGCTTCAACCTGCGTCACCCAGCAAGAAGGGAGGCAAACCTAAACGGGAAAGCATGCAACACAGGAACTAGAGTTGAACAGAGGATTTTATAAAATACATTGGGGCCTTGACTTACGAGTGTCCCGACTAACGAGTTTTTTGAGATACGAGCCGACTCTTGGCCGATTTTTTGCTTTGAGTTGCGAGCTAAAATTTGGGTTACGAGCCAGCTTCAGATACCCCACCGCTAGTTGGCACAGCGAACGTCACAGTGAACGCCACAACATCAGCCCAGCATCACGTGTTGTCTCACTCCACTTTTTGATTTGACATACGAGTAATTTGAGTTACGAGCTCCGTCACAGAACAAATTAAACTCGTAAGTCAAGGCCCCACTGTATATTAGATTTATTTAATTATCTAGAAAAGAACCACGTTTCTAAAATCAGTAGTTAAATGTGCATTTAAAAAAAATTAAAATACTAGAACCACCTATAGTGTCTGTGTCAGGAATTGCATTCAGCTGCTAATAAAAGAGACCCCAGTTTATAGCTTATCCTTGAGAGACATTTGTTCTCTCTCCTGTAATTGAAGTATAGGAGACAGTACCCGGGACTGGTACGGCAGCTCTAAGGTGATCCGAGACCCAGGTTCCTTTGTCTTTCTGCTCCACCATCCTTGTGCTTGTCATGTATCCTCCTGGCCCAGGATGGCTGTACTGCAAGCTACCTCCCTTTTAAAGAGACTTCCCGCACAGCTGGCGTGGCTCAGTCGTTGAGCGTCAACCTATGAACCAAGAGGTCACAGTTCGATTCCTGGTTCAGGGTACAGGCCCGGGTTTCGGCCTTGATCCCAGCATGGGGCTTGCAGGAGGCAGCTGATCAATGATTCTGTCTCATTATTGATGTTTCTCTCTCTCTCCCTTTCCCTTCCTCTCTGAAATCAATAAAAATATATTAAAAAATAAAGAAGAAAGAGACTTCCCAGAAGTCTCCCACAGCCCTTCAGCTACATCTCACTTGCTGTACCTCGTTGACAGGGGAGCTGGGAAGTGCATTTTTATTCTAGTCAGCAGTACACCCAGCTAAAAATAACTATTCTGTTTCAAAGTAGGAGAAAGATACTGGATGTGAGGTAGGCAACTACCCTCACAGTCTTTGCTACAGCTTCCCAATCTGGATGTTTATGGAGATGGGGGATGAGGGAGAGAGCAGGGATAAGCAAAAGAATATAGACAATAGAAGGCAGGAAGATGGCCGGGGCAGAAACGGGAACATGTGGATTACATTTAGAAAATACAAAATAGTGTGATAAAAATAAATCTATATAGTTGGTACTCACCAGGAATGTAAATAGACTAAACAGAGTAGATAGGTGGAAATACCTAATTAACACTATGCATGAATATTATAAACAAAGAGGTAGATTTTTTTTAAAAAACTGGTTAAAAGCAATATTAATGTGAGAGAACATGGAATTTAAGAAAACAAGTATTGACACAGATAAAGAGACTGATAATAAAATGAAGGTATGCAAGACAGTAAAGTCATTTTGAACTAGGTGCCAAATAACATAGCCATGATTATGCATGAACTCTATAAAGCAAAGGAACCTGACATTTTTTAAAAGAAAAATGCACAAGTACACAGTCCTAGCGAGAGATTTCAAACCAAATCTACCCCAAACTGATAGACATGGGAGCTGGGACAAAACCTTAGTAAGAAGGCAGAAGCTTTGTCCTGGCTGGGTAGCTCAGTTGGTTACAGTGTCCCCTGATACACCAAGGTTGCAGGTTCAATCCCTAGAAGGAAAGAGAAAAGTGCATTGAGTCCGGTTGGAGGTGCAGAGGTATGGAAGTGTGGAGTTAATGGAGGCAAATGCGAAAGGGGCTGGCAGCTGGGTACACTGTTGTCTTTTTCAATCGGGAGGGAGATACAAGCTCCCAACTGCTCTGAACTCCAGTTCAGGATGAGAATTTGGGGACCCAGACTCATATGGAGAGAAACTGGACTGTCTGGCATCGGGCCGGAACGTGAGGGCAGCTTTCTTGCAGAGGTGCTTGCAGCGTTCATTGTTCCTGCACAGGGCTGTGGGACACAGACCCCGGGACCTCTCCAAGGCAGAGCAGACTGGCAGCCATTGTGGTTTGCTCCTCCCTGGTGATTCCCTGAGACCTCACCCTACCCAACTTACAACCCCACCCAAGCTGTACACAGAGGCTTTTGCATACGAATGGCCTGGCCTTTCTCCGCCTGAAAACCTGTCAAACTGTAGCTGGGTCAGAGAACCCCTAAGAAGGCCTAAGGCTCGTCAGCAGCCTGCATTGCTTCACAGCTGCACCTCATCTGGGCACCTACAAACCCCAAACAAAGAGGAGGAATCTGAAGATCTCTCTGTAGCTCCTGCTGGGTGGCCTCAGGCAGTGGCCGACTTTGCACCTCCTTGGAGATCTAAGAGCCAATCTACCCAGTGGTCAGAGTGAGACCATCCAGATTACAACTCTTCACATCCATAAGAGACACACTCAGGGGGCAGACTCAGTGAGCGCCAAAGCCCCACTAAAGCAAGTCCTGCCCCATAAGGGTGTCTCCAGCACAGAAGTTCTACCGTTGTAGACACAACTGGTCCTCACAGCCAATTGACTTGGAGGTCAGTTCCTATCAGTGATACCAACAGCAATCAAGGCTTAACTACAAGGCTGTGCACACAGCCCACAAAGGAGTGCACCAAGAGTGTCCACCTCAGGTAATTAGGGAGGCTGAGCCACTGGGCCCTATAGGACACCTAGCACACAAAGC